ATATATATATATTTTTAAAGATTTTATTTATTTATTTGAGACAGAATGAGAGAGAGAGAGAGTACACATGAGACGGGGAGGTTAGAGGGAGAAGCAGACTCCCCGCCGAGCAGGGAGCCCGATGCGGGACTCGATCCAGGGACTCCAGGATCATGACCTGAGCTGAAGGTAGTCACTTAACCGACTGAGCCACCCAGGCGCCCCGGAAATAAATCTAATTCTTAATGAATTAATAACTTAAGAGAAAATAATGAAGTGAATGATCTGCCTCACCGGCACCTGTAATCCATGAGAGTCAGCCTCTTGCAGTGACCAAGCCCGACAAGAAAGCATGAGAACCCTGCTCCATCACTCACCAGCCCTGTGGCTTCGAGCACATTTCTTAAACTCCCTCTGCCAGCTTCCCCAACCATAAGACAGGAAAAGAATAGCAGCCACCTTGCAGGGTTAAGGAGGATGGAACAAGATAAGTCACGTATCAAACTCAGCATGATACCTGGCATCTAGGGAGAACGCAGCGAATGTCAGCCGTCATTAAAACTGTGGCGACTGGGGCGCCTGGGTGGCTCAGTCGTTAAGCGTCTGCCTTCAGCTCAGGTCATGATCCTGGAGTCCCGGGATCGAGTCCCGGGATCGAGTCCCGCATCGGGCTCCCTGCTCGGCGGGGAGCCTGGTTCTCCCTCTGACCCTCCCCCCTCTCATGTGCTCTCTGTCTCTCTCATTCTCTCTGTCTCAAATAAATAAATAAAATCTTAAAAAAAAAAACAAAAAACTGTGGCGACTGGTTTTGTTTTACCTTCTAGAACATTTGAGAGAAATTGAGTTCCGCTTTCTTTTTACAAATGGTTTAAAACATAGTTTTCATAACTTCACTGATACTTTACCTCTAATGTGTGAGGATCTTTCCCTGCGGTTTAAAGCCCTTTCTCTGATGACTACCTTCGTTTATGAATAACTATAAACACAACTTCCTATACGTTCTTCTTCCTACTTATGCTCATGAAGTTTGTAAACAGAGACAACATTTGGGAGAAGACAAGAACGTGTGTTTCTCCTCGTCGTGATACCCAGCTGCATACCAGCCCCGTGTTTGCAGATGGCTTTGACTACACAGAAAACTCAGGCAAACCAAAGTTAATATAAAGAGTATCCCCTACTTGATTCTCACCAGTTTTTGTCCTTTTAGCGTCTGAAGAGCAATATACCAATAACTCAAAATAATAAAGGCAAGCCTTCTCACGAGTACCACGGATATAAGTGACAGACAAAGAGTATCTCTGAGGGGAAAAAATGGTGTCAGCGATCTTCACCAAACCGTCAAAGATTATGAAGGGTTTAAAGTTATGCTCATTAGCAATTCTGATGAGGCCAACTTTGGATGCATGTTTGCTGCTTGAAATATTAGAACTAGAAGTTCTGTCATCATAAACATCACAGAAACAAGGGTCCTCATGTTACATATTCTGCACTTACTCTCAACAAAACGGGAAGTGATAACATTTTACGAAATTATAACAATAATGATTCATGGGGGAGTAAGAGAAAAGGTGAGTATTAAATAGGCTTTTTAAATTCATAAAGCTGTGGGGGCATCTGGGTGGCTTAGTCATTAAGCGTCTGCCTTCGGCTCAGGTCATGATCCCAGGGTCCTGGGATCGAGCCCCGCATCGGGCTCCCTGCTCCATGGGAAGCCTGCTTCTCCCTCTCCCACTCCCCCTGCTTGTGTTCCCTCTCTCGCTGTGTCTCTCTCTGTCAAATAAATAAATAAAATCTTAAAAAAAAAAAAAAGGAAAACCCGAAGGCTCAAAATAAATGAGAGGCGGCATTATTACTCTCACGATTCTATTTGCTTTCATTATTACTACTAAAAAATCGCTTCTCGGCCTTTTGGCTAAGATCAAGTGCATTATTACTACTAAAACAATAGCTACAATTAAATAAACTGGTATTAAATCTTTCCATTAGTCTGCATTAAGAGGAGATGGAAAAGCATCCTTGTAAGTATGTGACAGTGTGAATAAGGCAATGATTTGGCCTGATTAGGTTAAGACCCCTCCCCCACCACCACCTCTCAGATCAGCAGCGGGGGGAATCAGTATAATTTGGTTTTTGAATGGGGCATCTAAACAGGGCTGCTACACAGGGGTACTAACCAAGATGAAGTGATCAGCCCAAGAACAAGCCCTGTCAGAAATAAAATGTCCAAGTCCCAAGAATCTCTCCCCACAGAAGTCCAGGCTGGGCACGAACCACTTACTGGAAACCCTGCAATCGTCTTCATGAGCACCTCCCTGCACATCCCAGGGAGCGAAGGTGTCAGCTTGGGTTCAGGGAAAAGAAAATCCCGTGTGTTTTCTTCATAGCAGGCCAACTCCTCCCACACTAGAAAGAAAGGAGAAAAGCCATAAGTAGATTTACATTCTCAAAATGATCTACATTCCTGAGTTTAACAAAATAAAAGCTTAGACAGGTGACAGCTGAGATGGCATTCAGATAAAAATAGACATTTTGATCAAAGCACCTGTTATTCAAGAGGTGGAGTAGAAGAGATTTCTACTACTTCTTATCGCATGGATCATTTTTAAAAGCCTTCCCAAGTCATAACAGAGAAGAAGAAAAAAAACTAAAGGATTGCTCCACAAAACAGAACAAAGAGAAAAATCTCTTTTCATCCCTCCGTCTGTCCATCCATCGATGCATCCACCCATCCTTTCCTTCAACCATGTTTTCTAAGGACACACCTTGGGCCAAGTCCTAGGGATAGAACAGGAACAAGGCAGACAATGCCCCGTTCACACAAAGGTTACAGCACAGACTGGGAGATGGGGGGGTCAACGTGTCCTCTGATGCAGGGATATCAGCATCCCCATGGCCCACAGAACAGCCAAAGCTGTGGTTCTTAGCAGGACTGGTACCAGCCACAGGGACATTCCCAAAAATTTGGGGGGACATTTCATGGGCAGGAACCAGAGGTGCTAAGATGTCTCGCAATGCTCAAGACACTCCCGCACAACATTCTAATGTCATAACAACATTCTTTCAAGTGAGAAGCTGTTTTATAATTGGCTGAGCCTGGAACCTCACTGTTACATACAAACACGGAGCATTTTCTTTGCATGATCTTAAAATACACTGAATTTTCAGGAATGCAGCTACCATGTAAATTAAGGAACAAATGTGTTCAGATCTTTACTGAGACCCTACTGGCTATTTTGAAAATCATGCCACATCTAAATACTTCCTTATGCTCAACGTTTGTGTACTGATACGCGTATTTTGTTTTAAACCATTTTCCTTTTATTTCTCCTTTGTTACAGCTGAAATATTACATTGTTTGCAGCGATTTGTGTAAGCTGGTTATAGTAACCATGAATATTATTTCAGTATGGCAAAAGGGATGCTACAAAACACTCATTACCAAAAGAAGATCTCGGGTCTAAGAGGACTGAGAAGCTACCAGCAGGGCCCTCCTTGTCTACACAGCAGGTGCTACACCAGAGATTCCGACCGAGAGTGGACCCTGTACAGAGCACCGCCAAAGAAGAAACCATAGTCAATGAGGTAGCTTTACCATTTGGTGACCGCCATTTGATTTTGAGAAGAACTCTGATAGGTGTATTTCTGGCACATCAGTGGGACAAAACACCTGACATTATCAAATGTGACAGGTTAATATCGTCCTACTTATCCCACTCAACACAAATGCTTGGGTTCTCATAAGGATCGAAGTGCAAAAAGAACACATTCTCTCTTTTTCATCACGATATCATGTCTTTCCACTCCTCTCCTCTCATCTCCGACATGCACCAGCCACACAGACTGATGATCTATCTTCCCCTCCTCCGCTACATACGGACTTCCTCAGCCCACACTGTTCCTTCCAAAACGTCCTTTCTTCCTTCCCATTCCAGGTGAAATCCCGTTCGTCTTTCAAGTCTCACTTTAAACGTCTCCTCATGTCTCCGAGATAACAGGTCCAAAACAGAACTCTTGAATTTTTCCCACAAGTAAGCTCTCCCTTAGCCTCCCATCAGAAGAACCAATACCACATGCTTGAGCCAAAAATCTAGGATTTATCCTTGATTCCACTCTTTCGCTCCTCACATAAACCCATTAGCTAAGTCCTGTTGACTCCATCTCCAAAATAAATCTAAAATCTGTGTCCTCTCTCCACCCTTACAGCCACCAGGCTGGTCCCAGCCCCACCACCTGTCTCCCCGACCACTGCCACGAGCTGGTCTCCCTGCTTCCACTGTCCTGCACTCAAACCTGTCCTCCACACACTGCCATGTTATAAATACATCACATTGTACCTTTCCATCTCCTTAAAACCTTCCAACGGGCTCCCCATCCTGCTAGAATAAAACCTAAGCATCTTATCCTGGCCTTCAAGACTCCGTGTAATCAGCCTCGCCTAACCCCTCCTCCATCATCTGTTACCACTCTCCTCCTTGCTCATGCCACGTCCGCCCTGCTGCCCTTCCTGCTGTCCCTCAAACACACCAAGCTCGCCTCTACCTTAGATGCTTGCCCTGCGTTCTCCCTGCCGTCTTCCTTCCCCGGATCTCTGCATGGCTGGCTCCCTCCTATCCAATTAGGGGCCTCGGCTGAAATGTCATCTCATCAGAAGGAGGTACCCCAACCTAAAGGAGCCTGGTGCTCCCCACCACATTACCCTATTCCACTTTCTACCCAAAACATACCGCGAACCAAGACTGGCGTCACACATGCGTTTGTGACCTGCTCGCATCAGTGCTGGGAGTGTTACGTTTACTACTCCATCCCTGGCAGGGACCTCCCTAGAGGGTGTGAGTGCGGGGCAGTTACCAGCACAGGCCCCAGCCAAGACCGCCTCACCTGGAAGGGGGCCATTCTGCCAGTGTCTCTCACAGGCCCCTGGAGAGATCATTAAGGATGGACATTTTAAAGATTTTTTTTTAAAGATTTTATTTATTTATTTGAGAGAGAGAGTGAGAGAGAGAAAGAACACAAGAGGGGGGAGCGGGAGAGGGAGAAGCAGACTCCCTGCTGAGCAGGGAGCCCGATGCGGGACTCGATCCCACAACTCCAGGATCATGATCTGAGCCGAAGGCAGTCGCTTAACCAACTGAGCCACCCAGGCGCCCCATTTTAAAGATTTTTTAAAATTTGTTTATTTAGAGAGAGAGAGAGTGGTGTGGGGAGGGGCAGAGGGAGAGGGAAAGAAGCCGACTCAGTGGGGTGGGGCTCAAATGCGGGGCTCGATCCCAGGACTTCAAGACCACGACCGGAGCTGAAACCAAGAGTCAGACACTCAACCGACTGAGCCACCCAGGCGCCCTTTTACAACCGCATTTCAGAGGCGGTCAGAAAAGAGAGGTGTCGTGCAGCCTCCTGGAGCTGCCTCCGAGCAGATGATGTGAGAGAACTTAAGGCTCTGCTTACATCAGGTGCTCAGTTAGCATTCGTTACCCTCTTTGAGACTCAGTTTCCACCACCGTGAGAGAAGGAGACAGACGAAAAGTCCTCTAAAGTCTTTCCAACTCCTACCCTTCATTCATTTCTCAATCACTTCTTTTCCATCTTTTCAATCTCTTTTCATTCATACGTTCAAGAAATATGCACTGAGGACCTACCGTGTGCCGGCAATTCTAGATCCTGGGTGTTTAACAGGAAATACCATGGGTATAATTCCTGCCTTCCTGGAGCTTACAGTCCACAAGTGAGGAACAATTACACAAATGAATATACAATGTACATTGATGATAAAGAGGAAGGCAGGGAGGCAGTGGGAAGGTGGGGGGAGTTCTAAGATGGATCTTCTGCTTCATCCCAGCCTCCTTTTCATCAGTGCTCCTTTGACAGGCTCCCTCTGTAATGGGCATGACATCCCAACTCTGCTGGCCAGGGACTTCCTCCACTCAGAGACCTCACAAGTGCAACCTGAAAACGGGCGGTGATGTGACAATCTCCTCACCCATCACTAGCAACGAAACACAGTTTTCAACTGAGGCATGTGGTTCAGTGGTTAAGAACTGTTTCTAGGTTGAGACACAGCTGGTTCAAACCCCTGCTCCACCATTTACCAGCTCTGCGACCAGGAGCAAATGACATAATCTCCTAGTTTCAGCTTCCTCTTCAGGAAAACATAAAAGTCCTAATAGTACCTGCCCCCTGGGGCTACTGTGAGGGCACATGACATATATAAAGTGCCGAGCACACTGCCTAACATCACCTGCCATCATCGGACCGCTCCACGACACCAACCCAGCAGAGGTCCCAGCACCACACTGGTCTCTGGACATCATGTGTTTTCGATCATATGCTCCTACTCCAGTAAACCCCTACATGCACGGTGTGATGTTCTCCGCGCTGGGCTTCTCCTTTCTCCTTCCATAGGTTTTTGGCCAGCTCTTCTCACTGCGTCCAACATGACAGCTACCAAATCACGATGCGTGTATTTAGCAAGAATTAAAATAAAAATAAAGAGGCCAGAGAATCGGAGGCAGGCTCATCTCCTATCTTTGGAATCACAGGAATAAAGAGACTGAAATTGGAGAAGAGAGATAAAAGGCTGATGTGTCTCATTTCTCTCTCTCTCTCTCTCTCTCTCTCTCTCTGCTTTGGTCGTGTTCTGGAGTCCAACCTGCCACCCAGTGTGAAAATGTCTGCACAGCAAGGGGACGCTACAGGAGCCTCGGTTATAAATAATGAGCATATACACAGGCTGAGCGATTCTCAGAGGCCAAGGGAAACGTCTGAAAGAAATCACATTCTTACAGGCTCAGACTGGGAATCATCAATGCCGTCAGTGAAAAACTTTTCCCCCGAAAAAAGGAAAACAAATGAGCCTTCGAGAAAAACAGTCATTTTTGTAACAATGTTGTTTTGAAAAAGCTACCATTTACGGAGCATACCAGAACTGACAGCTTGCCCCGTGACGGAGTCTCATGTGGCGCCTTCTGTACAGAGAAGGAAACCGGCTCTGCGGGCAGGACGCATGTAGGATGCCACGCAGCAAAGCGGGATTTCAAACCCCTGTTATCTGGGGCAGGAGTTCTTCCACTCTCGATGCCTCATGAACACCACTACGAAGCATCAAACGAAGTCTGACTGAGGGAATGGTGCCCACTGAGTTAGCAGTTTACAGCTGGACGGAACCCACGAGTCTCCCAGGCGAGAGGCTTTCATCTAAGAGATGGGTAGGAAGAAAGCTAAGCGCCCGCGCAGACAGGATCAGCTGCTGCCCCCCTGTGTCCGTTCGCTTGTTCCCAGCTTTTGTAAACAGGAACCAGAGGAGTCTTCATGGCTTCTGAGCCGAATCCTTGGACATCGCTAGCGGTAAAGCCATAGGCACATCGAAGGGACTCATGCCATTAACACAACGGTCATAACATGTCTTTTGACTATAGGTGTGTTGGAAAGCGATGTGAATAAACATCAAACAATAAAATAGTATCTGCAGCAAAATGAAAAGTGAAGGATTTCAGCCACGTGAAGGACGGGTCCCTGCGAACCTAAATGTAGCCCCTGTGACCCCACGGTGCTGCCTACATGAGACAAATCATTTTTGCTTAATTATCAAGCATCGAGAACCAGCACAGCAAGAGGGCTCACCACCACCGTCCTGCCTGGGGCCAAGGGCGTGATACCAACAGCACAGTGTGGGGCATGTTCTGAGCACACCCTCAATACGCAGACGTTGGACCCATTAGCGGACCGACCTGTAATGCATCTGAAGCCGAGCGAAATTATTTTGAGCAATTCTAATCTAATGTTACTAAAAATGACAATCCGCAATACAAGGACTGAAGACAAGAGGAAAATAAGTATCATACAGCCTCCATTTCATATCTGAGTAGCTTCTGAGTTATAACCTGTAGGCATGCACCCAGCCTCAAAATTCTCCAATCATCGTGGCCTTGAACTACTCTCGCAACCTTCTCACAGGTGGATTTCTGGTCACATGAAAAACATATGGTAATCTAAGATATATCAAATATTAAAAAGCAAGTTGCAGACTATGTATATTCAACCAATGTGTATACTAAACACATATATTAAATACTAGATATATAAAGTACATTCATGTATACATACGTGTGTACATATAAATGTATTTTAGATTTCATTGAATACACCAAATGTATTATATATACATATATCTGAAAATACCTAAAAAGAAACACAAATTATTAGTAGTAATTATTGTCAGAGATTGTTGACGAATGTGGTTTTTAACTTTTTATTTTATATAACTTTGTGGTAAATTTTTACAGTAGGAGTATTTAGGTATTGGGTTATTTTTTTTTAAGATTTTATTTTTTTATTTGTCAGAAAGAGCACAAGCAGGGGGAGGGGCAGAGGGAGACGGAGAAGCAAGCTCCCCACTGAGCAGGGAGCCCGATGCAGGGCTCGATCCCAGGACCCTGAGATCATCACCTGAGCCGAAGGCAGACACTTAACCGACTGAGCCACCCAGGCGCCCCAGGTATTGGGTCATTTTTTAAAACTCCATGTAGAACTAAATAAGATCAAAATGGGCCTGCTTCTACTTCATTAACACCGAAATATAACTTGTCAATTTGCATTGATATATGTTTGAACATAAAATAAGGCCAAATAAGAAAAAAAAAAAACTATGGAAAAAAATTCAATACCTTGATTTTAGCCTATCACTTTTAGGCTGAAAAATATTCAGTAAGAATTTCTGAAAAGCAGGTAGGAAGCATCTCTGATCTTCCCTCTGTTCTACCTAAGACAGCCCTGATATATACAAGAGTTCCTATCCTTAGATCCACAGAATGTGGGGTTCTTCTCTGTTTTCAGGGTCTGCTTCTGCCAGTAGGCCGAGAGGCAGAAGAAAGAGCTACAGAATTCTGGGTCCCCTCAACTCCTCGGGGCCCATGTCTTGTTCTAGGTACAGCCCCAGCTGGCAAAACTATGATCCTCATAAAAGCCTCCACGGCCACCTCTGCTTTAGCTCAGGAAGCTGCCAGACTCACTTTCCTTCTCCCATGTTCTTAAGAAAATGAAAGATTCAAACAATAAAATATCAAAAGAATACAACAAAACAGGAGACATACATATGCATTAAGCATAACTTATTAAAAACTTTGGTAAAAACATCAGGAATATATACCAAAGGGCAATGTTAACATCCAGACATCACTCTGCAAGTAATTAAAGGACACTGAAAATCACGTTATACAGAAAAAAAGAAAGAAAACAAATTATGGGAAAATGGAAATTTTTAAGAAGTAAATTTTATATTTTAGGTTGTCACAAATCATATCTAAAAAGGGGCCAACACATATAGTAAAATATATTTTAAAGAAATTATATACGGTGCGCCTGGGTGGCTCAGTTGTTAAGCGTCTGCCTTCGGCTCAGGTCATGATCCCAGGGTCCTGGGATCGAGCCCCATGTCAGGCTCCCTGCTCCGCAGGAAGCCTGCTTCTCCCTCTCCCACTCCCCCTGCTTGTGTTCCCTCTCTCTCTATGTATCTCTGTCAAATAAATAAATAAAATCTTAAAAAAAAATAAAGAAAGAAATTATATACTTTGCAAACACAATAAATTCAAATGATAATATCTGGCATTAGCTAGGCTATGGGCAAGGGGCATGCCATACACTATTGAATACAGTAATAATGGAAACTTGCTGGCGATCAGTTTACTCCCAGGTGACAAGATATGGATGTTCAGTCTGGTACAGTTGTCCCCCCTTAACCACAGTTCCGAGACCCCCAGTGGATGCCTGAAACTGCAGATAGCACTGAATCCTATAGACACTACCTTTTTTTCCTACACATACCTACCTACGGTAAAGTTTAACTTATAAATTAGGCTTAGTAAAAGATTAACAACAATAACTAATAATAAAATAATTATAACAATATACTGTAATAACAGTCACGTGAATGTGATCTCTTGCAAAATATCTTATTGCATGTACTCACCCTTCTTGTGATGATGTGATTTGATAAAATGCCTACGTGATGAGAAGAAGTGAGGTGAGTGACTCAGTTTTTAGGCTACTACTGACCTCCTGACAATGTCAGAAGGAGGATCATCTGCTTCTGGACCATGGTTGTTGCCATGGGTAACTGAAACCAATAGGAAGCAGAACCACAGATACGGGGGGACTCCTGTAATTCTATTCTTTACAAATATACCAAGAGAAAAAAATAATTTTTATAAATATGTGAAAGACAAAGCCTAAATGTTTAACAATATCAATTTAAGGATAATTATAATACTACAGAAAAACACATAGCTATTGAGAATGACAAACTACAGATAACAATGTACAGTGAAAAAGCAAAACCCCAAATGTTATGTCCCTACTCTTCATGGACTTATAAAAACACATAAGTAAATTGATGAAATTCTTTACTGCCAATAAAAGATAATGACGTACAGGGTGCGTGGGTGGCTCAGTTGGTTTGGCGACTGCCTTCGGCTCGGGTCATGATCCTGGAGTCCCTGGATCGAGTCCTGCATCGGGCTCCCTGCTCGGCAGGGAGTCTGCTTCTCCCTTTGACCCTCCCCCCTCTCATGTGCTCTCTCTCATTCTCTCTCTCTCAAATAAATAAATGAGAATCTTTAAAAATAATAATAATAATGATGTACATCTATGCTTTTAGAAATGAAAATCCAACAGTGATCTATCACGGGGGAAGCCAAAAAGAGAAGAAAATGTATATGACACTATTATGTAAAAATTTTGTATCTAGGTGTTTTTCTGTCTGCAGAGATATATCAAGAAACATGTTCACCAAATTATAAAGGTTTTCTCATCATTTGGGGATGCTTTTTGCAACAAATAAAAACTGTAAAGCTATTTTCATTTTAAGGAAGAAAAAAGGCAAAAACCTGTAACAGCAAAGATCAAAAAAGAATTAGAAATGTTTGAGTCTTAAATATTCTCTCTCTCGGGGCGCCTGGGTGGCTCAGTTGGTTAAGCGACTGCCTTCAGCTCAGGTCATGATTCTGGAGTCCCGGGATCGAGTCCCGCATCGGGCTCCCTGCTCGGCAGGGAGTCTGCTTCTCCCTCTGACCCTCCTCCCTCTCATGCTCTCTGTCTCTCATTCTCTCTGTCTCAAATAAATAAATAAAATCTTTAAAAATATATATATATATTCTCTCTCTTTCTCTCTCTCTCTCTCTCTCTCTCTCACACACACACACACACACACACACTAAAATCACCAGGTAGGGACACCTGGGTGGCTCAGTTGTTTAAGCATCCGCCTTATGCTCAGGTCATGATCCCAGGGTCCTGGGATGGAGCCCCCCATCAGGCTCCCTGCTCAGCGGGGAGTCTGCTTCTCCCTCTCCTTCTGCCCCTCCTCCATGCTTGTGTTCTCTCAAGTAAATAAATCCTGAAGAAAAAAAAGACATATGAAGCAAAGGTACCACAGAAAAGTTTCCTCCTACAGTCCCACAATTCTAGCAAGCACTTTTTCTGTAAAGGGCAAGACAGTAAATACTTTAGGCTTTGCAGACCACATGGTCATAACTACTCAACTCCAGCATAAACAAAAGCAGCCACAGACAATATTTAAACGAATGAGCATGGTTGTGTTCCAATAAAACTTTATGGACAATGAAGTCTGAATTTTATACAATTTTCACATCATGAAATACTTAAAAAAATTTTTCCAGCCATTCAAAAAAATGTAAGAACTGAAGACAGTTTGGCAGTTCCTTAAAAAGTTAAACATGGAGGGGTGCCTGGGGTGGTCAGTCAGTGAAGCATTTGACTCCTGATTTTGGCTCAGGTCATGATCTCAGGGTTCGTGGGATCGAGCCCTGCGTCAGGCTCTGCACTCGGCATGGAGTCTGCTTGTCCCTCTCCCTGCCCCTGCTTGCATGTACGTGTGTGTGCACTCTCTCTCTCTCAAATAAATAAAATCTTAAAAAAAAAAAAGTTAAACACGGAGGTACCATATGACACAAAAATTCTACTCCTAGGTATATACCCAAGAGAACTGAAAACATGTACCCACACAACAACTTGTACATGAATGTTGACAGCACTGTTACTCATAATATGCAAAAAGTGGAAACAACCCAAATGTCCCTCAACCAGCAAATAGATAAACAAACTTTGGTACATCCACATAAAAGCACATTATGCAGCCCTAAAAAGGAATGAAGTAATGATACATGCCACAACGTGGATGCACCTTGAAAACATGCAAAGTGAAAGGGGCCAGACACAAAAGGCCACATATTGTCTGAGTCCATTGACATTAAATGTCCAGAATAGGCCAATCAACAGAGAAAGTAGATTAGTTGTGGCCAGGGCTATGGGAAGAGGGAATGAAGAGGGACTCCTAATGACTACGCGTTTCTTTTTGGGATAATAAAAATGTTCTGGAATAAGATAGGGGTGACGGTTGCACAACTCTGTAAAGATACTAAAGCAACTGAATTGTACACTTGACAACAGTGAAATTTGTAGTATATGAATTAAACATAGAGTATATGAATCTCAACTTTTAAAAACGTAGAAATTTAGCTCACAAGTCATACAAAACAAACTGGATTTGGCCTGGGGCCTATAGTTTGCCAACCCTGTTCTAGCATCTAACACAGAAGACAGTTTTGGGTATTACACACACACACATGCCCCATAAATTAGAACAAAGTCAAAGGCAACAACTGGAAAGAAACTGAGCCATGATTTTATTATTTGACGATAATTAGATAAAGTTATGAAAAAATAGAAAGTCAAATGCCTGCTTATGCTTACTGCCACCAAACCCATAAAGTTACTTTTCCAGGAATGGACAGAATTCAAAAGACCGGTGGGGGAAAAAAGGGAGTGTTCTAGAAAGCACAACTTGTAAATACCAATCCCATTCTGTCATGCCAAAATCCTTTCCAAACAAAATAAGCTATTTTAGAAATGCATTTACTGGCACATTACCTGGAGGTACTAGTTGTATTAATTCAAACCTGGTTAGGAAGCCTAAAAGGGAAAAAATGAGATTTTAATACTGAAGAAAATTGCTGGAGTTGTTCATTAATTGCTAAGTTTAACACTGCCATAACATCCCATTTATTTTAATAATAATAATAATAATAATAATAATAATAGGTGCTGTACCAACAATGATTTAGGTATTTTGAGACCCAGTAATTCAAAGGCATGGAATGAGAGTAATTGGTATTTTATGCCCTGAAAAGTGTTGATGAAATGAATGCAATATTTTCTCTCTTAAAAGTGTATTCATAAGGGACGTGGCTCAGTGAGTTAAGCATCTGCCTTTGGCTCAGGTCATGATCCCAGGGTCCTGGGATCAAGTTCCACATCAGGGTCCCTGCTCAGAGGGGAGCCTGCTTCTCCCTCTCCCTCTGCTGCTCCCCCTGCTTGTGCTCTCTCTCTCTGACAAAGTCTTTAAAAAAATTTTTTAACATATTCGTAAGTCACAGACATAATAAACGACTTATCATTTTTAAAAATTCACAATACAACTGTTGTCAATTAACCTATATAAGTTTATCTTGCTTAAAACAGTATGCTCTCTGGGGCGCCTGAGTGGCTCAGTCGTTAAGCGTCTGCCTTCAGTTCAGGTCATGATCCCAGGGTCCTGGGATCAAGCCCCGCATCGGCCTCCCTGCTCAGCAGGAAGCCTTCTTCTCCCTCTCCTGCTCCCCCTGCTTGTGTTCCCTCTCTCACTGTGTCTCTCTCTGTCAAATAAATAAATAAAATCTTAAAAAAAAAAAAACACTATGCTCTCTGACTATATAAATGAGACATAAAATATCACATTTTTTATACTTCCTGAGTCCAAAATGTATTTACAAATAGTGAGCCCATGTACAAAATCTATAAGGACAAGAATAAAATTCAAATCTTAATTTAAACATAAATGGTATAACAATTAAAAATCAATAAAGATAATTCCCACAAAATATGAGAAGTGAAAACATTTTAAAATAGGCAATAATGGTGACAATTATAGTTACTAATACTGTATGATATATTTGAAAGCTGCTAAGAGAGTAGGTCTTAAATGTTCTCACAACAAAAAAGAAATGGTATTATGTGATGTGATGAGTTTCTTAGCTAATGCTGTGGTGGTTATCATTTCACAATATAAAAGTGTATCGAAACCACATATTGTATACCTTAAATTTACACAGTGTTATACATCAATTATGTCTCAAAGAAGCTGGAAATATATGAAAAAAAAGTAAAATTGTCCCTTTGTAGACTTATGAAAAAGATATGAGTGTATGAGGACAGAATTTTAAATGCCAAGAAACTTAACAGCTAAGACAGCTTGTAATTTTAGGTTTTCCAAGTAGGAAAAAAGAATATATCTTTGCCAACCATCACTCCAATGGTAATGTTTAGCACTTCATTTGTCTCAGGCTCCAAATTCCTTACATTCAATTAATTCTCACCACATCCCATGTTCATGGATTGGAAGACTTAATATTGTTCAGATGGAAATATTCCCTAAGTGGATCCACAGATTCAGTGCAATGCCTTTCAACATCCTAGCTGGCTTCTTTGCGGAACTGACATGCTAAAATTCATATGGAAAGGAAAGGAAATCCAAATAGCAAAAACTGCCTTGGAAAGAACTAAGGTAGGGGACTCACATTTCCTGACTTCAAAACTTACTTACAAAGCTACAGTAATCAAAATTGTGTGGAATTGGCATAATGATAGATATATGGATCAACAGAATAGAGAGTCAAAAAAAAAAAAAAAAAAAAAGCCCTGGGGTGCCTGGGTGGCTCAGTTGTTAAGTGTCTGCCTTCGGCTCAGGTCATGATCCCAGGGTCCTGGGATCGAGCCCCGCATCGGGCTCCCTGCTCAGAGGAGAGCCTGCTTCTCTCTCTCCCACTCCCCTTGCTTGTGTTCCCTCTCTTGCTGTCTCTCTCTCTCTGTCAAATAAATAAATAAAATCTTTAAAAAAAAAAAACCTTCATTTTTACACTCAGTTGACTTTGAACAAACATGCCAATACTATTCAATGGGGGTAAAATACTCTTATCAACAAATGGTACCAGGATGACTGGATATCCAGATGCAAGTTGGACCCCTACTTCATGCTATTTACAAAAATCAACGTAATATGCGTCATAGACTTAAATGTAAAAGTTAAAACTATAAAACGCTTAGAAGAAAACATAGAAAAAAAAAAGAAGAAGAAAACATAGACATAAATCTTTGTGACTTGAATTAGGTAATACTTTCTTAGTTATGACATCAAAAGTGCAAATAACAAAAGAAAAACAGATAAAACTGAATTCATCAAAATTTAAAATTTTTGTGTTTCAAAGAACACCATCAAGAAAATGAAAAGATAATCCAAAGAATGGAAGAAAACATTTATCTATCATACATCTGATATGGGACTTGTCTCTACAATATACAAAGAACTCCATACATTACAAGTCCATTATATATTACAACTCAATAATGAAAAACCAAACAACCCAACTAAAATATAAGCAAAAGCTCTGAATACACATTTCTCCAAAAAAGATATACAGTCAATAAACACATGAAAAAATGCTCAACATCATCAAACCACAATGAGATTTCACTTCATACCCACAAGGATGGCTAGCAATCAAAAGGACAGGTAATAACAAGTGTTGGCCAGGATGTGGAGAAATGGAACCCTCACATATTGCTGGTGCAATGTGAAATAATTCAGCTGCTTTGGTAAAGTTTCTCCAAAGATTAAAAAGAATTACCATATGACCCCACACTTCTATTCCTAGGTATATACCCAAGAGAAATGAAAATATATGCCGACAAAAAAACTTGTACACAAATATTCATAGCAACATTATTCATCACAGCCCAAACGTGAAACCAACCCACATATCCATCAACCAATGAATGAATAAATAAAATGTAGTATCTCCATACAATGGAACACTATTTGGCCACAAAAGCACATGAAGTACTAACACATGCTGTAGCAAAGATGAATCCTGAAAACATTATGCTCAGTGAAAGAAGCCAGTCACAAAGGACCACGTATTGTATAATTCCATTTACATGAAATATGCAGAATAAGCAAATCTACAGAGACAGAAAGATTGGTTAGTAGTTACCTAGGGCTGGGAGTGATAAGGAAGAATGGGTTTAAGGCTTCATTCTGTGATAAAAATGTTTTAAAATTAATATGGTGATGGTTACACAACTGTGTGAAGATACAAAAACCATTTAATTGTAAATAAATTAATGAACAAACAGAAGTGTACCATCCAGTAAGTCCCATCTCTATCCAGAAAAGAGTCTGCAAGAGAATGAAAAACATGATTCAAATTTGACATAGCCTCTCCTGAATATAAATATGGATCAAACATGGAAATATTACAACATAGAATATAGTAGAGTTTTATATCTGTACACACAATTACATACACAGCAGTTGTTTTGTTTTGTTTTGAGAGCACCTACTTTCTAAAATGTCTGCTACAGCTCCAGGATCTATGGCATTTTCAAATACCTGCAGGGAAAAAAAAGGTGAAAATAAATTTTCAAACATTTATTAATATACACTTATAGCGGGGCGCCTGGGTGGCTCAGTTGGTTGAGCGACTGCCTTCCGCTCAGGTCATGATCCTGGAGTCCCTGGATCGAGTCCCACATCGGGCTCCCTGCTCGGCAGGGAGTCTGCTTCTCCCTCTGACCCTCCTCCCTCTCATGCTCTCTGTCTCTCATTCTCTCTGTCTCAAATAAATAAATAAAATCTTAAAAAAAAAATATATATATATATATATATATACGCTTATGGCAAATGTAGATTATATTCTTCCAAATAATTAACACATGCCAATTCCAGCCATATAATATTTTAAAATTCAACAGGAGTATCTTTGACAGGTATGTGGTTAAAAGCTCAACGAATGACTGTAGAATGAGAACACAGTACCAAGCACAAGGAAAATCTGAGTTAGCTGAATCTACCACATGCTCCAAATGTCATCAACTTGACCTAGCCCTACAGTTTGCTGCTAAAAGCACATCTCAAAGCACAAACCTCAGAGTCTTGCTTGAGTACCTAGAAATACATTCTGCATACCACAGACACTCACTAAATGAGGTTAACTGAATAAATGACCTTAGCAATTGGTTGTGCTAAAAAGGAACGTAAGTAAAAATTCTATCTATGTGTAACACAAAAGAAAACTAGGCACTATAACCCATACTCCTACCGAACCCAAAACAACCAGAGCGAGGGAGAGCCTCATAAGTTTAAAGTATATCGTGAAGCACAAGACAAATGGGATATCTGTCCAGCCAATGCCAAATCTGCTTATTTTGTCCTTGAGCTGAAGGGTCTGGGAGAGGACTGAGATTTTTTTTTTTTTTTTTTAAGATTTTGTTCATTTATTTGATAGAGAGATACAGCGAGAGAGGGAACACAAGCAGGGGGAGTGGGAGAGGGAGAAGCAGGCTTCCCGCCAAGCAGGGAGCCCGATGCGGGGCTTGATCCCAGAACCCTGGGATCATGACCTGAGCAGAAGGCAGACGCGTAACGACTGAGCCACCCAGGCGCCCCAGGACTGAGATTAAAAGCGGAACACGCCCTTCTCCCTGAACTCTGGAAGCCGCTAAGAAATGAAAGTTTTCATCAGAGTTTGATTCAGGCATTTAAGTTCTGATTTAAATAGTGTTTAAATTTAAGCATGGTTAACATCTGCTCTCGATCCAAAGCCAGCTCACCTTTAAGTACAAAAGTGGAGGCTATCCCCTGTAATCTATTTTTGTCTTACTGACTTAGATTTATCAAGCAAATGCAGGTGAGGGGTTTTTTTCCCCTGAATTATTTCAACTTGCATCCCTTCACTTCATCCATGTCTACGGATTTTCTCAACTGTGATCCTGGGGAGTAACTGCCCAAACACAATGTGTCACACATTCTTGATGAGCAATTTCTTATTTATCCAAATGTTTTAGAACATTAATTCTGGGTTACACAGCAGGTCCAAGGAGGAGAAAATGTCTTTGATATTTGCTGCAAGTATTTGCAGCTAGAGAATGGAACAAATACAAGAAAATTGGATGGAGCCGGGTGGGAGAAAGTTGGAATAGGAACCCGAACAGCTCACACACGGGGCAATATTTCAAAATTTTTAAATAACTGCATTTTATAAAAGGAAAAATGCTCCGTGATACATGTTTGACTAGCAATCTTCAAATGCACAGCTTTGCAACAGAGCAGTGGTATCTGGAGTCTAATGTCTCCGAAGTTGATCCCCCCTTTTCTACAAGTCAAGGATGTTGGACTAGATGACCTCCAAGGTCATTTACGGAATTATCATTCTGTGCTTCTGTGATTTTTGTATCCTTGTGCTTCTCTTAAAAGGGAAGTCTTTTTAAAGTCTTGTATAGAAGGAAACCTGATAAACTAATAAGGATATTCCTAGGGGGAAAAATAGACTGGACTTTCACCACCCACTTCCTACCACCACCAGTATCTAAATAGTAGAAATGGGTTCCTCTGGATTCTGACTATATGTCCCAAGGTAATACCCATTTATTCCTCTCCTCTCTTATCCAACCAGTTTGGTAGACTCTATTTAAATTTCTGCTGTGATTTCCAAAAACATTACATACAGTCCTAGCCTTTTAGAAAATCAATCCTCATCTCCTCTCCCAGTCTCAGTTGGAAACAGGTCATTTTCTGGGCAACACCATCCAGACGTTTAAAAATGATGGGCTCTACCTTATCTAGCCTTCCCATACTCATCCCCTCCTCCAAAGAGCAGCTCAGCGATATTGTTTGGGGGAAAATCATTAGACTTATCAAGGTTAAAACTGATTCCGCCTCCAAATTCCAAAACGAAAACTTCAAAGAACTGTGCATGATTCATAATAATGAAACTAATATTCTAAATTAAACTGGTTGTAATGTTCTATTAATATCATGTTCATATTCACTGGACTAGAACCTAGCCTTTATCACTGTAGCTAAATAAACCAGGGACGACCCAAGAAAATTCAATAAATCTGAAGAGGCTTGTTTTGTTACAGGATTTCAGATACAGGAATCTTACTAATTTGAATATAGTTTTTTTCATTATTTTTCTGAGTCTACAAAAGTTTGTTTCTAAGGTCCACTAATTTACTGATAATCCCTGTCATAAATGTAATGCAGCTGCCTCTGACACCTCCAAGAACATTCGGAAAATGCTCTCTCTGCTCCAGTTAGAAAATGCCATGGGAATTCCAAGAATAGAAAGCATCCACCAGGGCATTTAGCGCTAGGTTGACAGAACTTGGCTCAGACTCCAATGCAAAAGCAAGTCCTCCAACTCTGGTTCTGTACTGCTCTGAGGTGCCTTCAAGTCATTTTTTCTTTTTCTTTTTTTTTTTTTTTTTTTTAAGATTTTATTTATTTATTTGAGAGAGAGAATGAGAGACAGAGAGCACGAGAGGGAAGAGGGTCAGAGGGAGAAGCAGACTCCCTGCCGAGCAGGGAGCCCGATGTGGGACTCGATCCCGGGACTCCAGGATCATGACCTGAGCCGAAGGCAGTCGCTTAACCAACTGAGCCACCCAGGTGCCCCAAGTCATTTTTTCTTTTAAGAAAATGTACAAAATAACTTTATAAGACCCATTAGATGATCACCAGACAACAACATTTAAACTTCTGTATTTGGCAATGAGAAAGTCGAGATCACCTTTTCAAACCTCATGCTCTGCTGAATCGTAATAGGGAACACAGGGGGAAAGCAGTCGGTCTCCAGGTATTGATTTAGGAGGTACACCCCAAGGTACACATCTTGCTTGTCAGGAAGGAACACCCCTGGACAAGAAATCTTAAAAACAAAGAAAAAACAGAGAAGAGGGCTTGTGTGGTGTCGTTTTTTAAACGCAGCTCTGTTTCTCCTGAACTCCCACCCCCGCACCCCTTCCCCTGGACCTCCCACACCCCCATCTCCCCCTGTCCTCGCCCTCCTCAAGGGCCAGTTCCAGTCTCCTCCCACGTCTCCGCCAGGTGTCACAATCGTCCTCTCGCCGGCTCCTGTCCCCGCCCCTCCGGGATGGCAGTGCGCAAGCGGAAGAGGCTGCAGGGCCGCGCGCCTCTCGCTAGGCCGGCCGGCTCCCGGGGTCCGGGCCCCCGCCGCGATGCCGAGCCCCCGGAGGAACGCGGACGGACGCCCGCTGGCCGCGTCCGCCTCGAGCACCAGCAGCCCCGGCAGCCCGGCCCGCGGCGGCGGCGGCGGCGGCGGCGGCGGCAGGGTCGAGTTCCAGGCCCTGCTCGGCAGCCGCGGGCCCGGCGCCGACCCCACCTGCGCCCGGCTGCGCGCGTCCGAGAGCCCGCTGCACCGCCGCGGCTCCTTCCCCCTGGCCGGGCCGGGCCCCTCGCAGGCAGCCCCCGCCCCGCCGCCGGAGGAAGGCCGCATGGACCTGAACCCGTCCTTCCTGGGCATCGCCCTGCGCTCCCTGCTGGCCATCGACCTGTGGCTGTCCAAGAAGCTGGGCGTGTGCGCCGGAGAGAGCTCGTCCTGGGGGAGCATGCGGCCCCTCATGAAGCTGCTGGAGATCTCGGGACACGGCGTCCCCTGGCTCCTGGGGGCCCTCTACTGCCTGTCCAGGAGCGACAGCTGGGCGGGGCGCGAGGTGCTCATGAACCTGGTCTTCGCCCTGCTCTTGGACCTGCTGCTGGTGGCCCTGATCAAGGGGCTGGTGCGCAGGCGCCGCCCGGCCCACAACCAGATGGACATGTTTGTCACCCTCTCGGTGGACAAGTACTCCTTCCCCTCGGGCCATGCCACCAGGGCCGCCCTGGTGTCGCGGTTCATCCTGAACCACTTGGTGCTGGCCATTCCGCTGAGGGTGCTTGTGGTCCTATGGGCCTTCATCGTGGGCTTCTCCAGGGTCATGCTGGGGCGGCACAATGTCACTGACGTGGCTTTTGGCTTTTTTCTGGGCTACACGCAGTACAGCATCGTGGACTATTGCTGGCTTTCGCCGCACAATGCCCCGGTCCTCTTCGTACTGTGGAACCAACAATGACACCATTTCATTCATTTATGGCACCGGGAGATCTGAAGGTTTCCACATGCGACGAAGCCAGCGTAAACCAGCAGCAATCCTGCTTGTCCCTCTAAGGACATTTCAGGCTTCTTTTGGGATTTCAGGTGTCATTCCGTCTTGATGGGTTGCTACTCTGGAGAACATGCTGGCCATTATGACCACAGCCATATTACAGAAAGCAAAAAAAAAAAGCCCTCTATTATATATTTATTCAACAACTTTATATCTCCAGGACAACTGCAAAGAAAACAAGCTGGGGTGATTATAATCCTGCTGTTCTTAAGAAGTTGACAAAAGTAAATTTGGGGTTTTGTAGTAATCCTGTAAGTCAACATATCATTTGTAAAGTGAACTTTGAAAAAAAAACAACAACAACTATGATTCTGTCAATATACATGCAGATGAGCCACCTACTAATCCTAGTTCTTTTCCTGAGGTAGATTTTAAACAGTATTTTAAAAGTCTAGGACAGGTTTTTCTCATTTATTCCCTGAAAATCTGTTGCCACAGTGTCTTCTTAATCCTGATTTTCTTGATAAGCTTTCTTAGTATATTGTCTCTTCCATCTTTGTGGATTGGGTAGTGAGAAGAGAGATTATAGTACATATCTTGCTTTCCTTTCCCTCTACCTCCTCAAAAACTCTTTAAATATTTATTTCCCATTACTCTCTAATATTATCTTTTTGCATTTAGAGAACAAGCCAAGAACTTACTTGAAGAAGAAACACTTAAAGGTGGGCATATCTACAGTGCCCACGGAAATGGAAGGATGGGACTATGACCGAATGCTTAATTCTGTTGATGACAAATAGCATGGCATGACAGAGGACAGAAAAGCTGAGGATGTCAGGAACTAAGAGGCTGGGGGTGGGCTTACCACATACTATGTCAGTGGGCCAGTATGGTGGGAGATGGGGCTCTGCTGCCCGTCATCTCTACTGAATAAAGAATAACGCTCCTCTACTTAGGTAATAGGAAAATAACTTGGTTCTTGGCAGTGCAAGGCCATAAACTTTCTTATATGTATCACAAGGATGACCCTGTATATTAAAGTTTTTCATATGGAATTCCATTTCCCCGTATACAGCACACTTTAGGTAACAGTATTTAACTTGAAATTCATCAGGGGAGCCCACTGCTATAGCAGGCACAAGGCATAACTAACTCCTAAATTTCCCTTTACTTTGACCTTCACATTTAAAGCAGTTTATCCACAGTGCCTCCCCAAATCACAAGACCAAAGACCACCAAATGCAGGATGGACTCTGCTCATTATTCTTTGAGCAGGGAAGACCAAAAAGGGGATGTGCTTTAAATGCTGTTCTACCTGAAAAATAAGAACTTTTGAATTATCTCTGGCACTGGTGTTTTCAGATAATGACGGATTATTTTGACATTTATAGAAAGAGGATTATGGCCTTTCATCTGTCACATAGAGGGGCACACTGGAATCTGGAGAATGGTGTGACAAGTGGGCTCTGATTGGGTAGAAGTGTGAGCTTTCTGAGTGTGAGAGGCACCTGGAGGAACTCCTCAAAGGAAAATAAAATCACTTGTATTCCCACAACATCCTGAACACAAGACTACCTCTTCTCTTGCTGAATCAGCCAAACTATAAAGCTCTAAGTGATTTGCTTTATTGTTTAATCTTAGATCTTTTGTTTTAATCCAGCAATATTCAGGCCAGATCTTTTTGAAAGCAATGATATTTCCTTTAGCGGTGTTCACAAGTCTGAATATTGGGAGCTCACAGTTTTATCTTCTGGTTCCTGGTTTTACTTCTGGAATTCCCTGTCTTAGTCGTTGGGGACCTGAGTTTGCAGGCTTTTAAAGCACAGATCAATTCAACTGATGTCTCTGAAATACTTTAGAGTAGAAAATGATTTTACTGTAAATTAATTGTACACTGAGGAATACCTTTTAAAACTGAAAATAAAAGTAACCAATAATGTTGAATGAAGTGAGATGAAAACTTGTTCCATTTTTGCCTTGATGGAAGACTGCTTTATCACTCAGCTTCTCAAGAATTCCTTACCCCTACTGCAAAATTTTGAGGGTCGGCAGCACTCGATGTAGCACAATTTGATAGAGTCTAGTCCTATTTGCTCTCAGCGAAATGGGAGAAATCCAGGACATTTTTGTCTTTCAGAACTGCATGTATCATGAAACCACAGCACTTGTCACTGTATGGAGGCTCACCAGATTTTCCGTGGCCATAACTTACCGACAATGTGCTTGTAATCACGACCAGTAGAGAAGCCCCTATAGCTGGGAGGTAAAGCCGCATGACAGTCTGTCACGGACTATGGATGGAAGGATTGGAACACAGAAGCTGAATTCGGGGTAGTGACTGATCCCAAACAGGAACAATGAAGTCACTCTGCCACAGCACCTCACTTAGGCCGGATTCAGTGGATAATTATAAAACAGAAGTGTTGACTGATTGACCCCTTTTGGAATTAGCAAGCCAGAGCCATCTCTAGGGGAAATACTTAGAAAATATTCAATTAGGGGATGCCTGGGTGGTTCAGTCAGTTAAGTGCCTGCCTTTGGCTCAGGTCATGATCCCAGGGTCCTGGGATGGAGCCCCAGATGGGGCTCCTTGCTCAGTAGGGAGCCTGCTTCTCCCTTTGACGGCCGCTCCCCCTGCTTGTGCTTTCTCGCTCTCTCTGACAAATAAATAAAATCTTTAAAAAATACATATTCCATTGGTTCACAGAGGTGGCAAGTTATCAGGAAGTGATTGGGCTTTCTGAAATTGAATTCTTCCCTTGTTATTTAAAGGCGGGTTGTTTGTTTGTTTGTTTGCTTGTTTGTTTGTTTTGTTATTATTTCACAAATCTTTATCCTGGGGAAAGATAAGATAAAATTCTTCTTGGACTTAATGCAGGATTATTCTAAAATAACAGACAATTTTAGGATCAAGCTAACAAGTCCTTTAGGGGGCAAAAATGTTGAAAGAGGTTGGGCTGAATTAAAGGTTAAGAAATCAGGGAAGACCAATGTAGAGCTCTTAGGGACACAGGTACGATCTGCCCCAAAAGATAATGATGATGTGTGTGCGGTGAGGCGGGGAGGAGGTGGTGTAGGAGATGGCGACCATTTAGGAGCCCGGGGGAAAGAGTCTGATTTGGAGCGAGGAGTGGAGGTTCGCCGACTTCTCTTACCGCCCGGATCTGTAGTTCTACCACCACTTCCAGAGGCATCGTTCCCTGCGTGGGCGAAAGGACTGGAATGAAAAGATCCTTGTGTGCTGAGCCTTGGACCGATTTTTCCCGGCGTAGCTCACTCCCTGGGGCAGACGTTCCCAGCGGCTGCCCCTGCCCCCAGCCCCCTCGTCCCCCCACCCGTCCCCACCCCGGACTCAGCCCCGGTCCCCCCACCCGGACGGGTCTCACAGTGCGGGAGCTGGAGCCAAGGCTTCCAGAAGGCGGACGCGTGGCGTTGCCATGAACGCCCGAACGCGCCACCTTCCACCTGGGACGCGAGCGAGGCTCGGCGCACGCGCAGTGCCGAACGGGCTTCCCGGGCTGCGCGCGGGCCGCGCCAGGACCCGGTGCCGCGCTGGTGGCTGGGTCGCAGGAGGCTGGGGGAGCTCCTCTCTTTATGGCCCCCGTCACTGTGTTAAGATGTCTACAGGGTCCGTTCTGGAAGGGGAATATGATCATTAGCTCCGGTATCATTTAAGTGCTTCCCATGTTCAGTAGCTATGGGACCGCTGAGCCCTGGAATTTCTTTAACAATTCCGATTAATAGGGCGCCTGGGTGGCTCCGTTGGTTAAGCGACTGCCTTCGGCTCAGGTCATGATCCTGGAGTCCCGGGATCGAGTCCCGCATCGGGCTCCCTGCTCGGCGGGGAGTCTGCTTCTCCCTCTGACCCTCCCCTCCCTCATGTGCTCTCTCTCTCAAATAAATAAATAAAATCTTTAAAAAAAGGGGTGCCTGGGTGGCTCAGTTGGTTGAGCGACTGCCTTCGGCTCAGGTCATGATCCTGGAGTCCCCGGATCGAGTCCCGCATCGGGCTTCCTGCTCGGCGGGGAGTCTGCTTCTCCCTCTGACCCTCCCCTCCCTCATGTGCTCTCTCTCTCAAATAAATAAATAAAATCTTTAAAAAAAGGGGTGCCTGGGTGGCTCAGTTGGTTGAGCGACTGCCTTCGGCTCAGGTCATGATCCTGGAGTCCCCGGATCGAGTCCCGCATCGGGCTCCCTGCTCGGCGGGGAGTCTGCTTCTCCCCCTGACCCTCCTCCCTCTCATGCTCTCTCTCTCTCATTCTCTCTCTCAAATAAAATCTTAAAAAAGAAAGAAAGAAAGAAATCCCTAGACCGGAAATAACAGTCACTCTATTGCGAATACTCTGTATGTTCACATGTATGCACCCCCAAGCCCCAGGGGACATACGTCAATTGTTCTCAAAAGTTCCTACCCCATTCTAGAGGGGAGGGGGGTGGGAGGATGGGTTAGCCTGGTGGTGGGTATTGAGGAGGGCACGTTCTGCATGGAGCACTGGGTGTTGTGCACAAACAATGAATCATGGAACACTTCATCTAAAACTAATGTTGTAATGTATGGGGATTAACATAAGAATAAAAAAAATGGAAAAAAAAAAAGTTCCTACCCCAGGGCGCCTGGGTGGCTCAGTTGGTTGGGCGACTGCCTTCGGCTCAGGTCATGATCCTGGAGTCCCTGGATCGAGTCCCGCATCGGGCTCCCTGCTCAGCGGGGAGTCTGCTTCTCCCTCTGACCCTCCCCCCTCTCATGTGCTTGCTCTCTCTCATTCTCTCTCTCTC